TAACCGCTTAACATATTAATTTAAGGAGGTAAACAAGTGGTGTTTTGTCTGTCAAGAGCAGACTTGCATTAAAATACCAGTTTACATAGTTATGTTGCAACATGTTTCTACTTCAGGACAATGTTTAAATTAGAAGCAGTTGTCTTCTGAAAAAGTATCCTACTGAACTGTAGACAAAAACATGCCATTAAACCTTGTCTTAATAAAAGCTAGTCTCATTTAAGATTTTTTTTAAACCACATAGGCTCAAATCTGACAATAAATATACAAGAGCAGTGATTTCTGAAATCTCTTGCAGATGCTGAATAACATGGAGATAAATCTAAGGCAACTTATGACAAAAAAACCCAATGCTAATAAGTATGCAACATTGTCAGGAAAAAAAAAAAATCGAGATATTGCATCATCCAAAGAATTAAAACTCGAATCAGTCCAGCGACAGCATGCACTGTGTCTTACTCCTCACATTCTAAGTTAGTCCACATTACACAGCTGTAAAGTTCTATGACCATGCAATGACCACAAGTGGGGAAAAAGAAGCCTCACAAGAAAGGCATCAGAATAAGACACTTCCCACACCTGAACACTAGTTTAGAATCAAACAAAATGGAGAACCTATGTTCAGATGAGAGAGAAAAATAGAAATTGGTTCAACAACATTCTCAATTTAGAGGTATCATCTTCTTTGACTTATTGAATTATTTCTCAAAAAACACACACAATAAATCTAGGCAAGATGTGTATCACCTAAAATTCTAGTAGTACTTGCTTCACCTGGTAGCTTACATAAAGATTCCTGAACCAGCTACATGCTAAGGCCTACTTTCAGGCTAGGAATGTTTTTAAAAGGTAGCTTGTCCAAGGATAACTTCTGCATTCCCAGACCTTTTTTGATTACATAAGTAGCCTTAGCATGGCATTCATATATTCTGGTAATTTTACATTTTATTTTTTCCCCCTTTTCTTTACTTTACTTTTGATAAAAAGGAAACTGCTCATACACTAAGTCAGTGGTGTCAAACAGGTGACCCACAGTCCCACCTAACTATTTATCCAGCCCGCATGACAGATTAGATTCTCAAGCTTTCATTTTGTTAAGAAGTTAGTTTCTAGCCCTTATGGTTCTGAAAAGAAAACTTGCATTCAGATCATGTTTGGAACTGAGGTAGCACTGTCTTTCTGAATTGACAGCACGCCACTACCCCATCCATCTCAATGCATTGATGAGGTGCTGTAAATAAGCCCATGAGTTAAAAGTCCATAACTGCCAATTGCTGGGTTTCTTGCATCTTCTTCTAAATCATCCGGCTATTGCCCACATAATATTGCACTAGACAGACCACTGGTTCTGTGTTCCTAAAAGCCAAATTTTCAACTAATTTTGGCACCCAAATATGCATTTCATCTGCACATTTCCCACATTACCTGTGTGATGTGGGCAACTCAGGTACTAGCATGGGCAAATGGCCAAAAAAACATAAAAGAAGCTGAGAAGTACCCTGCATAGTTTTTCCCTTGTTGCATTAATATTTCTCAACTAAAAGTTGAGTTACTACTATCAGGGCCATATTCTCCCTTGATCTTTTGCAAGCTTCCCGTCTGGTCAATGGACAATATAAAAGTGATCTGGCCTTCTTTTTAGAATTAGTTTGATTCTCCAATTACTTTTCTTCAACACGTGGTTTAAATGACAGTAGCAGATCTGAAAAAGCAACTGAGATGGCAGCAGCAACAGATAGAAATATAAATTATATTATTTTTGATGAACTGTGAGGTGTATTTCAATGAGACATTTTTGTAAGTTGTGTCAAGAGCTCCTCCAGATGTACATTTTAATGTCACAAAGTGGGCTAGGATTCACTAGGCTCTTCTACAAGTCCATGCAGCTACTAACTGTGCATGCTCAAAAGTTATTTTCAATCTTATAACTTTTTAATTTTAAAATTTTCAACTCCACCTCCAAATCTAGCAAAGAGCCTATTCACACGTGAAGCATAGAGGGCACCCCTCTGCCCCCATCAGAATTACTGGCAAGCAAAAAAAGCCCTTAAAATCCTGAAATGGTATTTTTCCCTTTTCCATTAATGAGTGGCTCAAGAGATTTTGCTCATGGTTCCCCACACAAAAGATCACTTCTAAACATGGAAAATTTAGCCCCAAAAGGAGAATTTTTAATATCAAAGCATATGAAAATTGGGCTTATAAAGAAAGTCTCATTGTAATCAACTATTTAAAAAGATACTATAATTAACTAAGTTATTCTAAATAATGATGATGATAGTTTAGTGCAGTAGTTCTCAACCAGGGGTACAAGTACCCGTGGGGGTATGCAGAGGTCTTCCAGGGAGTACATTAAGTCATTTAGATATTTGTCTAGTTTTACAACAGGCTCCATAAAAAGCACTAGTGAAGTCAGTACAAACTAAAATCCCATACAGACAATGACTTGTTTATACTGCTCTATATACTATACACTGAAATGTCAGTAAACTATTTATATTTCAAATGATTTATTTTATAGTTATACGGTAAAAATCAGAAAGTAAGCAATTTTTCAGTAATACTGTGCTGAGACACTTTGGTATTTTTATGTCCGATTTTGTAGGCATGTAGTTTTTAAGTGAGGTGAAACTTGGGGCACGCAAGACAAATCACACTCCTGAAAGGGATATAGTAGTCTGGAAAAGTTGAGATCCACTGGTTTAGTGGGTATACATGAAAACTGGTGGGAAAAGTCCCATAATTAGAATGTTAGTACAAGACTCTTTAAAGTACATTTTAGTGGGGCCTACAAACACCAAAGTATCAAAAAAAAAAAAGAAACAGAACCCTCAAAACCTGTACATGTCTTTGCTGAGTAACCACATTACTGTAATCCTTGTTCTATATATTCTCTTACTCCCCTATTTGAATGTAGGCCCCGATAATAAAAAGGGATCCTTTACTCCTGTACAAAGACCCACTGTAAACAATGGAAATTCATTGCAAGTATAAGTAATTCTCTTTACACGTTCTGGACTTGTAAACTCTTCAGGGCAGGGGCCATGTACTCACTTGTAGTAGATGCTTTACTGAAATACTTCATGATCAAAAATAATGAATATGACAAAGCACTCCCTATCTAATACATAAAATGTGATAATACAAAAGGAAAGAGTACATTCAGACTTCATATAAATTCAAGGTCTTTATTCCTGCTGTAACTCTAAATGCAACCTTACCTAAGTTATCATTACTGCACCACCACTATATACATATACACGTGTGCAGTTTATAAAAAAAATGTTTATTGATGATCTGTTAGTCCAAATTGGCACTTTTAAATTTAAAGAGGATGATGGGTTCACATTACTACTGTAAACCAATTTTCACAATTCTGAAAGATCAAGTCCCCCCAAAAGTTAAATATGCATCTACTCTGAGTTTGCAATATGCCAAATAAACTAAAATTGAATTTTTCATAATCTAAAACAAAACTTTCTATAAACATCAAAAAAATGGATGGGAAGTGAAACAAATAAGAGCAGCTTATTTGAAACCTTAGCTAGCAGTCACTTAACACATTCACTTTCCGTAGAAAAGAGGGAGGAGCTAGAACCACAACAAAAAAAATCTGGATAGATTCTACAATAAAGCCTTCTGGAATGTTTAAAAATAAATCATTCCATCTGTAAAAATCACACACTAATCAGTAACTCACAGGAGGAAAAAAAATCCTGCATTTCCTCAGTACACTACCATGAAGGATACAATGTAATCCTTCCAAGTTCAAACTCAGTCTTTACTTCCTACTGTTACCTACAGGGTCTCTGCACACAGTAGGAAGACTAGGAGCAGCAAACACAGGCAACAACTGAAAGGAATTCTGAACCTCTGTCCCTTCCATCTATTTGCATTAACTATCACTGGTACTTTCTCTCTACTCGTCATCAGCTAGTTGCTAAATACAAAATAGTTTCTAAAAAGGATTTGGTTCAGGTTTGACACTGAAAACTGCCTTATAAGGTATAAAAGCCTGAAAGCAGGAAGAGGCTTTGACAAAACTAAGGAAGTTCCGCTGCGCTTGCTCACTAGAAGAGGGGGAAGGGTTTCCCCTATAGAGAAGTAATACTGAATAAATGATTTGATCCATATATTAAAAAAACAAACAAACATGGTATTTAGCAATAACCCGTGAGCTCAGAATATTTAATGCACACAATTAAGTGACTGAACGATATAAATAATATTTTTATCATTTTGCTATCCTAGCTGGATTATGAGTAGGGTCCACCCTAACCTCAGCAGCCCCTGAACAGGAGCCTGCTTCCGGCAAGACACAGGCAGCAAGATTGGTCTTGGAGATTCTCAGGCAAGGGTGGGGGGGAACACTGCTTCCTGAATGACCGAGCCAGGAAGATTTCTAGAGCAGCAAAGGGAATGAATGAAATTAGGGTGGAGAGGAGACCCTCCAAAAACACCCCAAGAGGACGAGGGAAGAATGCTCACCTTAGGGTGTGACCCTGCCCCTGAGTCACCCTTAGGGTGTGACCCTGCACAGTCAGCCAAAAATGAACTGGGGGCGGGGGATGGTGCTACTTGGGGAGAGGCCCACTCCCCCAGGGAGTCGGGGGGCGGGTGCTGAAGTCAGGGTGGGAGCCCGCGCCCACCCAGATGTGGGGGAGAGGGTGCTCTTGGGGGGGAGCCCCACCCCACAAAGCCGTATGCTGCGCTGGAAGGGGATGGTGGGGAGAAACGGGGGGGGAGGGGTGCTCACTTCAACCCCTTCCCCCGCTTTCTAGCCTCCTCTCCCCGCTGACACCACCGCCCCAGGGGGGCTATTGTGGGGCAAGACACGTCCCTGCAGCCTCCCCACCGGGGCTGGAGGAGATACCCCACCCCCAACCGGCCTGAGGTACCCACACGGGAGAGGCCCCCCCCCAGTCCCCGGTGCCTGGTACCAAACTGTCAGCAGCCTCCCTGCTGCCCATTCATCGCCGGCTCGCCGCCCCCGCGCTCACCCCGTGCCGCAGTCCACCACGCAAGCCGGTAGCCGCCCTGCCATCCTCCTCGCTAGAGATGGTGCTGGCCGGGGAAAGGTGGGGGCCCCTGGACTCTCCTTCTCGCCTCTCTCTCTCCACTACGGGGGAGCGAACGCGGCCACTTCCGCAACCCAGCCAGTCCCTCCCCCGCTCGCTCGTAGCTCACAGCCCGGGCGAACCCAAGATGGCCGACTCCCTCGTCCCTCCCAACGCAGCACGGCGAGGTGGGCGGGCGCAACAACCGAACCATTCACTGACGTCCAATTTCTCGTCCTCGTCCCTACGAGCGGGTGTGAAGTAAAGCGGGCGGGCGCCTCTCCGCCCACTTATTTTTCTTTAAAGAGCCTTGGTTTCACCATCTGATTCTTCAAGGTCCTTTTGAAGGAGGATCAATAAAAAACAAAAGAGATATGCCAGTTATTTGAATAAACAGGCAGAAAGAATTATTCGCCTTCTGTTACTTGGGAAAAGACACAGGGACAATTGATTGTCAGCTGGAGGGAGGAAGAGTTGCAAAGATTAAACCACAATCAACCAAGTTCCTGTAAATTGGCCCTGTTGAAATAGTGGGATTGGGGAGGAGGGCTGCAGGCACCACCAGACTCAAGTCCCAGTAATTAGGATCTTTTTAAATGGCAGGATCAGTTTCCATATAAATATGGATTAAGCATTAAATGCAGAAGTGGATACTGCTTGGTTCTGTTTTTGAAGCGTCCAAATGCAAGAGCAGACAGAAGTAGCTGTCTCATAGCAGTACATTTTGTGAATCATGTACTCATTGTGGTAGCTAAGTATATGCATTTTTTCCACTTGTAAAAAGCAAGTAGCTCTTCTTACAATAAAAAAACCCCTAAAATAAGTAGGAAAATAATAACAATAAGACCTGTTTTAAAAAGTTTGGCAGTGTCCTTTTATTAATTATTTATAGCACTGAGAAATGTGCCATATGCTTCACATTAGACATAGAAAGACAATTTCCCTACCCCCTACACCCAAAAAAACTGTACAATCTAAGAGGTCAGGGGGTCAATTATGGCAGCTTTGCCATAAGCCCCGTGTTTTATCACCATCATCCGCAAATCTCAAAGTGTTGTGGCCTCCTTGCAAATTGAGCACCACCTTGATTGATCTCTGGCAAAGTGCTAAGGTGGCCTAGTTGTATATTCAGTTTATATCCATCACTGGCAATTTTCTCACACCACCAAAGCTTTTGACACCCACATGATTGCCAGCCATGCAGGCACATTTCTGGGTACACATGCTTTGAAATTAATTGATCTGTTATTCTAATAATATGTCCATCCCAAGAAAACCCCTAAAACCAAACCAGTGCTGATGAAGGCAGTTGCTGGGTTCGGTTTTGAATATCCTAATTTCTAATCCTGTCCTGCCACTTGATATGGAGCAGCCGATGAAAATGACAAGAATCATCCATCTGATGTTCCTCAGACCTCCTCTGTGCCCAAATTTTACTTTTGTACATTAGAGTTGGTGCAACTATGGTTCTACACATCTACAGCTTCATAGCAAGCTTGATATCATGACATCCCCATGGGGGAGGAATGGTTACTGGGTTCAGATAACAGTTCTAGGGAGGATTTGGAGTTGGGAGCCTGGCCTGGTTTCTGTCTCATTCAGGGCCTCCTGAAAGTATGGTTCAATGGGACCATGTGCAATGGCTTGGGGATGGGGAACCTATGCCAAGTGTCTTTCCTACCTCACTGCTACAGCTGCTTTTGTAGTTCCCATGTGTTCTCAGGACAGTGTCTGCTGCTGCTTCTTTAGCAGCATTGTGAGTTCGGCCTTAGAACATTTGGGTGCTGCCAACATTTTCCTGAAGAAGGCAAGTAAAGGGAAGGTAAAATTGAAGTTTTTAATGGTTAATATCTCAGCAAAAGCAGAATGGAATTTCATGGGACAAAGAAAAGACACTTCTATAGCCTGAGGGCTGGCCTCCTTTCAAATATCAAAGAAGACTGTGACTCAGGGAGCAAAACAGAATCCCTTGCAGTACTTACTTGATCACATTTTGCTGTAGGGATTTTTGTCCAGGAAAAACAGTGAAAGCATGATAACTGACTAATAGCTCTATAGCATCCAATATCCTAACATAATGCCTCTGATTAGTCTACATAAGCCATTTTAGCTGAAAGGGAGAAGAAATAATCAAAACGCTGCTATAAGAGTATATTGATTATTTATTTTCAATAGTAGTGCCATTTACTAGTAAATGTAAAATCAAACCCATAAGCACTTACTTTAATGCAGTCTATGGAAAATGTCCAGTAGTTTTCTTCTGTTGGTCTAAGCATTCTCTGTGGGTTGACAGCACAAAGACTTGGAAAAAGTAGAGTAGCTTATGTGGAAAGTGATACAAATGTAGCAAATAATTCCATTGCTGTCCTTTTCTATCAGTTTATGTGTTGTTTCTCTGGTCTGAGTCTATATTAAAAAGGACATTGCAGAAGAGCAATGATATTGCATTTTCTGATTTACTAAATTACAATGGGATTTACATGCAAAAAGCTAAACGCACAGATTTTATCTTTATACGGAGATGTTTACAAATAGAATATGTGTAATTTGCAGCATTTTCCTTAGTACCTTGTGATATACTGTAGGTTCCTCTTTTTGGAATACACTGCAAAGTAAGGGTTGGAATCCTGCAGCTCTTGCTCAGGCAAAACCTCCATTAAAGCCAATGAGAGTTTTTCTAGGGAAAAGGCTGCAGAATTAGCCCCTTCAGCTGTGAGTTGAGTTCTCATTTTTTCTTTAATCAATTCTTCAAAGTTTTGAGCACTCTTGCCCCAATACAGCAAAGAATATAAGCATGTGCCCACCTTTTCAATTTTAAGTCCCATATGATTGTATAGTAACAGCATGATTTTGGTGTTCAGTGCCAAAACCCAGATGGACCAAGCTGGACATAGTTGCTGGATATGTGTTTTTGTGGTACTGTTGCACCATGATACAGTGGTATCTAGACTATTTTGGTGGACAGGGAGAAGTTACATATATACTAACTTTAGATGGTAAAAATGGATGGTATATATACAAAAATTATATAGATTCAGAAGGTATTGGTGCCAAATTAGAGATTTTGTATACCGGATGTGTTCCAGACCAGATTTTTTTGCTTTGATCTGCCGGAGTGCGCAGCCCCACCCCGCCGGAGCACTGCTTTACCGCGTTATATCCGAATTCATGTTATTTCGGGTCGCGTTATATAGGGGTAGAAGTGTACATACAAAATTTTTACCACTCACAAATTAACCTTGGTGCAGGGATATGTTCCCAAAAGAATAAATTCCCTTGCTAATCTACAGCTTTTCTGTTTGTATTATTCTTCTGCAATCTCAATTATTTGCAATAGGGAAAAACTCCTGGGGATCTGTTTGATTCTGTATGTGCCTGAGATCTCCAGACAGAATGTGTAGTTTGTGATCACTGAAATCAAAGGAACAATGGAAATGGATTCAAATGCAGTCCTAAAGCCAGGAATATTTCACAATACCAGCAAAGCAGATGTTCTTTTGCTGGAACATTTGAAAATAAAACACCTTCCTTTTTATTATTAGTTTACAAGAAAACGTGTGTATACAGCTAAATATTTACTCGGTGCCATTTGCATTTTGTCTTTCTAAAACAAAATTTGATGAAGCCAATAGAATAATTCTTCCAAAATATTTAAAATTAGAAATGCTTAATGTGTGTGCATACATTGGAAAGCAGAGAGGGTGTCTGATCAAATTTTACTGAAATTCAGACTATTTAAAAAAAAATTGAATCTTATCTTAATATATTTATTTCCATAGTTGTTTGTCTTTAGTGACTGTGATTGGACTCTTTAGAAATCCCCATTAGTTTTCTGATCATAACCCACTTTGAACTAAAATTCCAAATGCCCAGATCCTCAAAAGTATACCGGCATCTGACTCCAATTGAAATCAATGGAAGTTAAACGCCTAAATAGAGAATCTGGGGCAGATTTCCTATATGATGCAAGCAAAGTCACTTAATCCAAACTTTTTACAGGTGGTCATTAACTGAGTATTCCTGATTTTCCTGGGTGCGTGACTAAGATACACTGGGGTCCGATTGGCAGGAGTGCTGAGTGTTCACAACTGTAAGTGAAGTAAACAGAAGCTGTGGTTTGAACATATAAAGGACTAATGCTAAGTCCTATGAAAAATCAGGTCCTATACATCTCAGATTGAGCACCCAATATTAGGTGGATACTTTTGACCTTAATCTTTCTCTATCTCAGTTCCCCTAATCTTGCAGGGGCATTGTGAAAATGAATGCATTAATACTGTATTTGTAAAGAAATCATATACTATAGTACTGAGCATCACAGAAAAGCCCATAAAGTAAATTAATAATTGTGTCTTCAGAGCAGTGTTTGAAGAGTAAATAAGGCACTGGGCCACACATTGCCCAATTAGGAGAAAACAAAATATTGGATTGCTGATCATTAAGTGAACACTGTCCACTCTTCACACTGAATGAGGTAGCGGTTTGTAGGGAAAAAAATATGTGATCATGTAATTAAAGACTGTATCATAATACACGTGTGCAAGGGAGGGGGAAATTAAGGTTGCACAGGCAACCTTAACTCTGGCATTTCTTAATTTTTGATTACTTGACTTTGCAGCCTTAATAATGTTCTTTTAACATAGTTTTGTGTATGTATGTGTATATAACTGCATATAATCTGGACATTCTGAATATAGGAACATAACTGCTTCTAGCCCATGAGTGGTAAATCATGCTATATATCACTCAAAAGATAATTTCACCTACATTTACAATAAAGTCTCAGTCCTAAATTTGTCCTGAGGTCACAATTATTTTCTCTTTCTTATTCTGCACTCTCTAATCTGTGAGTAAAAACACTTTATTAACAAAGCTTATTGGTAATTAGGCAATCTGTAATATCATGAAGAAGCAGAAAAAAAAGCAGCAACAACAGCTAGAGTTTCAAGCCAGCCAACATAGGAATGTTAGCAGCTAGAGGAAGGTGAGAAAAGGGCCCAGGACCTTGTCAGAACTGCTGGGAAAGGAGAATCTAGTGCATTGGACATTATCATTGCTATTGTATCAAAAATTGTATAGTTTAAACCAGGGGTCCCCAACACGGTGCCCGCGGGGCGTCTAAGTGCGCCCACGTACTGGCCGGTGGACGAGCATCTGCCGAAATGCCGCC